TACCCCCCGAGACACCTAGCTCCAGGCCAAACGATAAGGTTCCGGGGGTTCGGGAGACCCTGAGGGAAGATGCCTGGCCTCGTGCTGGGTGAATCAGGGTTTCTCCTTCCGTTAGCTCATTTCGTCGTCCCACACTGTTCTCCTGCTCTACTGACGGGAAGATCAAAGCTCAGTGAGGACACGTAACTTGTCTGTGACGCCACAGTCTGTATTAAGTGGCAGAAACAAAGTTGGCCTGTCTCACTTCAAAGCCTTCATCCACACGCGCGCATACACACACACACACACACACACACACGCGCACGCACACGCACCAGCTGCTTCAGGAAAGGCCTGGTGGTCTGGCCAGCAGGTGGCACTAGAGTCGCCTTCATGTGACTTAAGCTTGTCCCACTTCTGTGTGGCCTGTACCCTGTCCAAGGACGGGGTTTTGATTTGTCAGATGGACGCATTAACCCAGCACGTGTGGCCAGAGGGGACGTGACGTGTGCATGACGTTCGAGCTCCCGCAGCCACCACACCGGAGAACCGGACGCTCCCTCCTCCATGGTCCCCACACCCCCACCACGAACCCCGAAGAGGCATTAACCGCAGAGCCGCGGGCATTTCTCACACGAGGCATTTCTCGGCCTGGCTCTGTGTGGACCATTCACTTCCCAAGGGCCGGGCGATGGCTCCCCGGCTTCATCCCCAGGACCCGGCGTGAACTTGACACATGCTATGCACCCCAGTAAATGTGCACAAACACGTACGGCCCCGGTTTTCCCGGTCAGCTCCAACTTCAACGCTCCTGTCCTGCTCTACCCTGAGCTTATGGAAACATCACAGAAACCTCAACTACCGCATCCGGCAAACTGCCCGCCGCCCTGGGCACCCACACAAAAGTCTTTGTTCGCCAGCATGTCTGGAGGGCTGTCGTCGCACAGAGAAGGGCCAGGTCCCTGGGACCACACGCCTTGGTTTCCATCTCGTCATGTACAAGAGAACAGCGCGCCCCAATTTTTCAGTTCAACGGATTTGATCGGAACACTCTATTTTCTGTGAAAATGCAATACTGAAAGTAGCCACACACTAGAGAGAGAAGGTCCCCCAGGCCCAGTCCCTTCTCCTGGGAGGCACGGCCATTCTGGCCACCCCCCAGGCTGTCTCGCGCTTCTAGCCTTCCCTGCCGGCACCTCCCTGGCTTTCACGCTCTTGTCATTCTGGACAGAAGCCCTGGGAACAGGCCAAGGCAGGGCTCCACTCCCCTCACCCCTGTCCACCCGCATTGTACCCTCAGGCCCACAGCTGTGCCAACCGAGGCTGTGCGGCCTTCCTCTGGCTTCTAAGACCGCATGTCTCAGGGGTCCGTCCTGCTGAGGGGATAAAGAGGATGTTTTCAGTCCCATCCCAGGCTCTGGAACGCTTTGACATTCCTCCTGTGGGTAGGAGGGAGTCGTGTGGTCAGGATCTTAACAGCCTGGACGATCCATGAGGCCCAGCCCTGCGGTTTGTGGCCCAGCCTGCTGGGTCATGCTCCAGTTACCGTCCCTTGGCCGCCAGGGACACTGCCCAGAAGGAGACTGTGTGGACAGAAAGAGAAGGCTGAGGCCCAGAGAGAGACAGAGAGACAGAGAGAGGGCACACACCTTAAATCTTCCCTATCAAGACTCCCTAGATGTTACCTACAGAAATGCTGGCTAGTGGGTCTTTCCTGACACAGCTCTTTTAAATTTTATAAATTGCTTTCTGCAGGTCAGATAATAAATTCTTTAAGAGGATTTTGGAGGATGAGGAAAAGAAGCTACAAAGCAAGAAAACTCCAGCCTGAGGCGCTAACAGTGCCGAGAAGACGGGCCACTCCTCGCTTGGAGCTCCGGCCTGTATCCTGCCTGGGTCGGTCTACCATTTGTCAGAGTTTTGTCACTATGCTGACACTAAGCTCCGAGCCCCCGTGGTCCTACGGTAACTCCTCTCTCTAGGAGGGGACAACCAGGATACAAGCCTCCAACGGCCACTCAACTTGGGGTTCCAGCCCCAACCCCCCTTCCTACACCGGGCTCCCGGCTAGCCCGTGATTCCGTAGCATGATGGCCCCAACCACACAGCCCCTCAGACGCCCGTGTCTCGTCTCCCATCGGAGGGCCGGGAGCTCAACCAGTCACACGGGCGGCAAGCGGCAGGCGGGGAACAGCAGAGGTGCCCCGAGGAACCTCTGTGGCTAAGCTGAAGTGCCCCGAGGGAGAGAAACGGGATGGCCGGTCATCACCGTCCTCACTCCCTACCGCTCTTGTCCCAGCACCGGGCTGGCTGCCTGGAGCTCGTTACCACTAATCCCTGCTAATCCCCAAGGCCTTGCCAAGCAGGTGTTGCAGACACAGAAAGGGCCCCCGGGTGGCCAAGAGACTGACCTGAGGCCACAGCCCCAAGGAACAGGAGAGCGAGTCTGGAAGTCTGGAATCCCAGCCCTGGCTCTTCCCCTTTCCACACAGCCCTTTCAGGCCCTGCCCTGGACACCAGGGAGCACCCCCTAAAAACTGGCAGTAAGACAGACCTTTGGGGCGCCTACCCACTCCCCCATGGGGGCTGAACCCAGCGTGAGCTTTATGAGGGGGCCCTGCTCCACCATCAAGGCTGACCCCGCAGGAACCTGGCAGGGTGGCCTCACCACCCGCTTCACAGCTGAGGGTATAGAGGCTCCAAGGAGCCCAAGCGACCTGGAATGGAGTAACTCCAGGCTGGCATCTTTCTGGAATGCCACAGCTTCCCCAAGAAGCTGGAGAACTCAGTCCTGGAGGGCTTGGCCTGGCCACT